GCGTCGTTTTACATACCGCACACTAGTTGAAGAATTTTCTCCCGTAGTCATTTTTAAAATACAGCCTTCTAAATTTTTTCTGCCAGTTGTACGTTTCGCGTCCACCGGGAAGTTCGTTTCTCACCCTCTAGATAGTCATTAGGGCCATTCTTTCTAATCGCTTTTTGTCACCTTTCAATGTTTGCTCAGATGTGTGCAATAAAATCGTCCATTTGAATGGCAAACTCCGATGTCGGCACATCGTACCAGAGCACGCTTCATTTCCTCAAGGAAAGACCCATATTCACCCTCCAACTTGGGCTCCTGTTCCAGCAGAACACCTATATGGATCCGAACGCGCGTCGTGATGTCGGCTCCTAAGTGGATTTTTTTTCAGAAGCAGAAATTAAAATTCCAGAGTTTTGGCCCCTCGTTGACGAGAGACCAACAATAATCAGTTAGTACTTTGCAGCTTCACCAACTAGCTCTTGCTCTATCTTTCTGGGTGAAAAGATATTTGAATTTGTGACTGTATGCTCACATTGGCGATGTGGTTGCCTTCTGAAGTGCTATTATGGTTTTGCGCTGTGTGCCTCCTCCCTTGAGGGCGTGTAGCAGCTCTGTTGCTGATTGATATCTTCTCGTCGCTTTGCGGATCTTCGGGGGACGTGGTCGCGGTGTTAGCTCACAGACTGCCAAAATGCGGGAGGCAGATTCTGATCGCCGACTTTTCGCAGCTTGTCTCAGTCTAACAGCTAGAGCGGCTCTTGGTAACCCCGGCGACGAACGAGTCAGTGTAATATCGATTACGGTAATACTACGAGACTCAGGTGTAAAAGTTTTACGTAGAGTTCGCCACGGTTCCTAATTTCCTGCTTTCTCACCCGGGCTTGTTACCAATGGCATAGTCATGAATCTGCAGAAGAAATCATATATACGATAAAGTCTGCCATTAAACTTCTGATAATTCGGCATAGAGAACCGATGAATGCATCACATCGGAAAGAAGGGGTAAAAATGCAGTATTCCATTATATCAGTTCTTAAATATACGTGTTCAGGTGTAAAAATTTGGTTGAAGTTCGAGACAGTAATGTTGG